TTTGGATGTGCTCTTTGAAATTATGTATATTGAATGCTCGAGGTTGGTTTGTATGCCTCAAAAAATGGTAGATAATGATATAAAGTTATAGAGAGAGTATAATGATGGTATATATTATACACGAAAAACTCTTCATCCAGAAAAAGATCAATTTGAAATTGTTGGGATACAAATAGCAGAAGATACTTTACATCTGAATGTTCTTATCAGGGATAAAATGAATGTTAATAGATATTATAATATAGAATCAGCAAAAAATCCCTATGCAAAAATCAGAAGAGGCTGTTATAATTAAATTTGTAAAAACCTTCTTCTTTTACGTAATATAATAATTACAAATTTGTCTTTACTATATTATGAATCAGTATGCATATCTGAAAGACAAAAGGAAGACAGTATGACTGTAAATTCTAAATAATATTTATTCTTTCCTGTATTTTATTCTTATTTAATAAAAAATTAAAATCTGATGGTCTGGTTTTGTATAAATAATATATTTTTGGAATTTATTATTATTTGATGTTATATATATATAATTGTAAACCTTGCACTATTGTATAAAAACTTCTAATTTGTATTATAGTGCTATTTTTTCTTTATTACTATAGGGTATGCTAGACACTGATTAAAAAACACGGGTTCATAAAACTTACTATTTTAGCTAAACACTTCTGGGTATATAAACTACAACCTGACATTAATAAAATATCACGAATTGGTCATATAGCAAAAACAAAAGGTGGCATGTATATGACAAACTGTAATACCCAAGATCATTTTATCAAAATCCAAAGAAGCTAGCAAGGCGTTTTTGCAAATTGCATCTGCTAAATACTTTTTCAATGTCTAATCTACTAAAAATTAAATAAGCAGCGAGGCATTTTACAAAGTGCATCTGCCAATGCTTTTCTTTTTTCTAATCCATCAGCACCTTTAGTCCCAACACTGTTTGTAAAGCTTAATATGCTGATGTGGTGTATTTTTTTAGGCTTTTCTCTTTCTTGCGTTTATATCCTTAGTTAAGAAGACATTGAGTCTCGACGTATGTTAGCATTCTATGAATACCGAGTTTGAATTTATTAATATCGTATTATTTATCTGTTTTGACTGCCAGATCTATAATTGATTAATTAATATATTTCTTAATCGAAATCTCTATAAATAATATTGTTGATGTGTAGAAACAAAGACTATATACTATCTCTTTAGAAATTTTTCATTTTATAATAAAATTTTAGATTTGTGTAAATGTAAATTTCAAATACCTTAATTTAAGAGTTGTAAGATTATCTCTTTAGTCCAAAATATGAACAGGGCATTATACTTGCCAGTAAACTTAATCTATTTTCAATAGCATTTTTTTAAAAAAAAAAGATCTCTTCATAATAATAATAATACTATAGGGACAACATTATATTTATTTAATAGCAGATTTCAGAAATACATATGAATAATTGTTTATCTCAATGCTGCAATAAGATACAGCTTAACATTGTGCTTAAAATACTGTTTCGATGCCAGAAGAGCTTTGACTTATCGTTGCTATATATAGATAATCGATTCAAACCGATTTAAAAACTGACTAACCTGAGCCATTTGGAATGTGGGGGTACATAATGGTTCTAGAATAATATTGCTCATTTAAGAAAATTGACAGAAAACAATTTTTTTTTTGTATTACCCAAGCAATTTCGAGTTCACCTCAGAAAAATTAACAATATATAATTATAAATTTTTTTTAAAAACTATAAGTTCGAAACTTTGTTATTAAAGAAAAAAAACTTTTATCTATGAAATATAAAGGTTCGATAAAAATTAATTGTTTTTTGAGGTTTATTATTAGAGCGCAGTGAA